GGGGGAAAAGGGTCTGAATGATGTAATGCAGTCCTAATACACAAGCCTAAAACGGCTTGACCCCGGCCCAGTCCGGCCGAGAGGAGACTACTGTTGGAGGCGTGTAGGGCGTTCCGGGTCAGCGGACCTCACCCATTCCTGAGCGGACCATGTTTCATGGTCACAGTGCGTTCTTCCCTGTTGGCTGCGTCAATGTACCACTCCCTGTTTGTGCATTTCAAGCCCATTCTGCAACTACGAGCGTACAGCCCGCGTCTGCATGGATCAGAACAGATACCACACTTGATCTTAGAGCCTAGTTCCACTAGGGGCATTTCACAGTAGTATCCCTTTTTTACTCCGTCATTGGGTGGGGGGCAAGGTCCAGTAGGGGCAATGAGTTCCGTCAGTGCCTGAATGCGACCTTGTTTTAGAGTTCCTACCATTTCCGCAACCGCAGATTGCGAAGCTCTCGTAGACTAGTCGCCGGTCCGCCGCCGGCCTGGCTGCGCCCCCACGCCCGAGCGTGGTATCAGTCGTCTATCTCTAGGTGGCCGGCGCCTTCGATCCAGTGTTTGTCCAGATACATTTGAAATATGGGATCACTTCAGACGTATACCGTCCAATAGTTACTTCAGATACATGTAGAATGTTGTGTAGTGGATGGAAAGACCTTCTGTTCACTAACAGTGACCGTTTAGACCTTGTCTATCCAATCTGCACGTGACTATGAGGCCTGACGACCCCCCCAAACAACCCCCCTCCCTCTACGCCTAATTTGGGGATTTTGGGAGACGCTATGGGCCTCGCTGCACTACACATGAATCGTGAATCAAGTGTTCGGCACCGCCGCACTTAGATGTGAGAATGGCTCTTGCTCTACCACTCTCGAAATGCACAAAATACAAAATCACGGTGGTGTAAACTCCCATGTTCTAGCGGAAAATTCACTCTCGTTTTGCACATTTCCAGAGTAGTGGATCGAGACCCTTTGCCCCGAATGTGATGACATCTGTACCCCATAATCTCCGAGTGGTTGACACGTGGCGGGTCATCACCGACTTCCCTACGATGTGGCGGTGGTCAGTGGCCAAGCGTGTCTGATTTGGCTGAAAGGTACAGCCATGAACCGTTCATAAGTGGACCTATCGAATCAGATTAATTCGATAACACGGAGGAAGACGACGAACAGACACGCACGTTCACAACATACCTACACACACACACACACACACACACACACACACACACACACAGAGAGAGAGAGAGAGAGAGAGAGAGAGAGAGAGAGAGAGAGAGAGAGTTTTTGCGCGCAAATGAGGTGGTGGTAGTGGACTGGTTGACTGAATGCGATAACAAGGAGGAAGCCGACGAGCAGACGCCCACATTCACAAATACCTACACACACACACACACACACACACACACACACACACAGAGAGAGAGAGAGAGAGAGAGAGAGAGAGAGAGAGAGAGAGAGAGAGAGAGAGAGAGAGAGAGAGAGTTTTGCGCGCAAATGCGGTGGTGGTAGTGGGCGGGTTGACAGGATCTCCGTTTTAGGTGGAGTGAGTGGCAGAGGGGTAGAGATTGTATTTGTTGAGTCATGGCTTTTAGGTCTTTCAGATCACTTTCAGGTCAGGCTAGGCGCTTGCTGTCTATACCAATCAGACGAGGGCCCACGTGGCTAGAGCAGTCCAATGGTGGTAATGCTCATTGTACCCAATTGCTCTCAGGTCATCAATCTGGTCATGAATCTGGTCGTTTCGGTGACGGCTGTGCATCTTCCTCATCGTCATTATCCTCCTCATCCTCAACACGCCATTCTCTGCGTGCCACGTGGCAATCGCAAGTGACCGGACCAGGTAATTTCTGTCCAGGTGCTTTTACAGCAGAGAGATTTTTCTCGCGGTGGTCGGCAGTTCGAACCCACGTGTCACAATCAGAATCGGGGTTTGATCTATCATCCACAGACTTCGATCCTGAGGTGGGGACCACATCGGACCCTCGCCCTATTGACAATCTATCTGGAGTGGGGACCACCATCGGCCCTTCGGAGACTGTTCCTGGTCATATACCTGGCATGAACAAACGATCAAAGAAATTCTTAGGAAGTAAGTGATGACGATTATTCGAATCTGGAAGTCGTCTGCCCATCTCCACTCTCCCCGTTTTCTTTTTTCTTTTTTTTTGCATTTTTCAGAAAAAAAAAAACAAACTGCCCATCTCCACTCTCCCCGTTTTCTTTTTTTTTTTGGGGTACTTTTCAAAAGAGGAAAAAAACAATTTCGACTCTCTCATCAAACCAGAGATACCCAAAAAGAACCAAAAAGACTAGTACGAGTTGTATAACCTGTTATAGAAGATCGCTTTGAAAGATGTATTCATTCCAGAAGTAGAACCGTGACACGAGCGCCCTTGCTCCCTTCTTTTCCCTACAGTCTTCCCCCGAACACAACGCACCCTTGTAGAGACGAACGTATGCAAGGTAATTTTCCGGTCCGATACGGTTTCGATGAGGGTGCGTTGTGTTAGGGGGAAGACGGTAACTCCTCTATCCACACTCCCCCTTTCTTCTCCTCTCTCTCTCTTCTCTTTCTCTCTCTCTCTCTCTCTCACACACACACACATACACACACACACACACACTCTCTCTCTCTCTCACACACACACTCTCTCTCTCTCTCTCACACACACACACACACACACACACACTCACACACACACACATATTCCTGATGAGTCCGTGAAAGTCCACACGCACACACACACACTCACACACTCACACACTCACACACACACATTCCTGATGAGTCAGTCCGGCGAAGCAGTCTGCCACAGTCGTGTTTTTTTTTCTGTGGAGTTTTGTACAAGAAAAATGATAACACACACATGCACACGCATACACACACAAATTCATACACAAATGCACACACAGATACATACAAATTCATACACATACACAAATACACACACACAGACACCCACGGAGTCGATGAAGCAACAGGCGGTCACAGGCATGTTTCTTTTGTTGTGGAGTTGTACATTGCGAACAATGCTAACGCCCCTTCCTCCCCCCCCCCCCCCCCCC